TAAAACCCCAGATACGCAGAATGTACCCTATTTCTAGGAATCTGCAACTCTTTGAGAGTCCATTTCACTCTCCAGAGACTAATGACTTCTGTTGCTAGGAGGAAGGGATCAAGGGTAGCTTGCGGTAGGACACTAGCAGAAAGCCACACTGAGCTCGCTTTGAAAAATTTTAGCAAGCTTTCTTAAGGAATCCTGATCAGTAAAAAGAAGACATTCCCAAAGCACTGTCTCTTATATTCCTCTTCCAACCCAAAGTCCTCCAATCTATTAAGAGTACCAAAAATAAACTCCAAATAATCCGAAAAAGTCTCTGATTTTACTTCTCAACAAAACTTTGTTTTTGAGATAAAGTCTTGCTCTGTCATCCAGGCTGGAGTGCAGTGGCACAATCTTGGCTTATTACAACCTCTGCCTCCCGGGTTCAAGGGATTCTCCAGCCTCAACCTCCTGAGTAGAGGGGCTACAGGCACATACTGCCATACCTGGCTAATTTTTGTATTTTTTTTTTTCTTTGAGATAAAGTTTCATTCTTGTTGCCTAGGCTGGAAGTACAACGGTGCAGTCCCGGCTCATTGCAACCTCTGCCTCCCAGGTTCAACCAGTTCTCCTGCCTCAGCCTCCTGAGTAGCTGGGATTACAGGCATGTGCCACCACACCCAACTAACTTTTTGTATTTTTAGTAGAGATGGGGTTTCACCATGTTGGGCAGGCTGGTCTCAAACTCCTGACCTCGGGTGATGTGCCCACCTCAGCCTCCCAAAGTGCTGAGATTACAGGTATGACCCACCACACCCAGCCTAATTTTTATATTTTTAGTAGAGAGTATAGAAATTTTTATATTTTTAGCCTTGTTAGCCAGGCTGCTTCCGACCTCCTGACCCCAGGTGATCCACCTGCCTCAGCTTCCCAAACTGCTGGGATTACAGGCATGAGCTGTTGCACTCAGTCAGCCATACTTTCAATAACCAAAACATACTACTCCCCCCCTTTTTTTTTTGAGATGGAGTCTAGCTCTGTTGGCCAGGCTGGAATACAGCGGTGTGATCTCTGCTCACCGCAACCTCTGTCTCCGAGGTTCAAGCAATTCTCCTGCCTCAGTCTCCCGAGTAGCTGGGATTACAGGTGCCCGCCACCACAGATGGGGTTTCACTGTGTTGGCCAGGCTGGTCTCAAACTCTTGACCTCATGATCCGCTCGCCTCAGCCTCCCAAAGTGGTGGGATTACAAGTGTAAGCCACCACACCCAGCTTACTACTCCAGTTTTGAGAGACTTGGACAGACAAACCAAATCTTACATAGTACCTGGCACGTAATAAGAATCCAATGAATGTATAATAAAGAAATACTTAATGAAAGGTTCACTCGGCCCAGCCATCTCAGGGAAGGTTTTGGAGGACAGGTGCCATGTTTATTTTATACTCTTGGCTAGCCAAGACACTATCAGTACTAAGAATTGATTGAGACCAGGTTCACAAAAGAGAAGATGTAGCTACCCATTCAGGTCTGGAGCACTGGTGATTCTGTAATTGAGAGATTCAGACTTACTTAACTGGTATGGGGAATCACGGATACTATCCTCAACTTTCAATTAGATGTTGCACTGTGGTCATCTCACAGATCTGGCTGGATCTCAGATTAGATTCCAGTCTATCTGTAATGTCCTCCTGGCAGAGGCAGCCACCCTTGTGACTTTCAGCTGCTAGTTATTACTTTTTTGTGACAAGTCTCAAATGTTCATGATTATTTTCTCTATCCCCAGGAAAACCAAGGAAGGGAACAAGACAAATATCTTGTGTGAAGGCCACTAAGAAAAGTGATAAAAACAAGATCCTTTCATAACCACTCTTTTACTTAACACAACTGAGCTAAAGTGATTCTTTTTTAGATTAGCAAAGCAGTCTAAAATGTCATTTTTCATTAGTGTCATCTTACATAATAATCTGTCACTTTTGAAATCTCTCTGCCCCTTCTGTTCCCCCATATCAGTTGGTTAAAAGTCCTGTCGATTCTCTTTCTACAAAGGGATTCTGTCCTTTTTTTCCTGACTTCAGAGCACCTATTTGGTTCAGCTGTTGACAGGATTTGCCTTATCTAATCTATTGTAACCATCTTCCTCTTCTATGTCGTTCCACAATCATATACACGCTCCACACTGTAGCCAAGATTATGCTCCTAGTGCTAGAATCTGTTATTATTATGCCTGTGTTAGACATACTTTCTTTAAAAAGCTACCAGCAGACATTACTTCAGGAAAGCACTCCTCCATCATCCTATTAATAATCCTGCTCAGTCCACCGGGTTCCAGGGACTAACCCCATCCACACCCCAACCCTCCACCCCATCCCCCACATCCCCTGAGATAGGCACAGGATCCAGGCCATCTGCTATGGGCCATGTGACTGGTCTGAGCTTGAGAAATGAATCATGTGAATGGCCCCATACTGGCCAAGCAAAGTCCTCTCTGGAGCCTTCTGCCAACACAGTCAAGAAAGGCACTCTCTTCTCAGTGACCACAGGCTTCAAGGACTGCAGAGGCTGAACCTCTCTGGGACACTCCCTCAGAGAACAAAGCCACACCAAGCCCAGCAGAGGTCAAAGATCATGAGAAGCCAGAAGGAGGAAAGGGCAAAGGATCGAGCAGAAGTAAAGACATCATTGGCATCCCTGACCCTGCCAAGCTTCTGTCTTGGATTTACCAGTTATGTGAGCAAATAAATGCCTTTTTTTCCTTGTATTCTGAATTGTCTTCTTGACACCTTTGTGTGCCAAATGCATCATAATGCATATAATCCCACTACTTAGAACTTTTAATAGTTTCTTACTTCCTGTAGAAAAACCCAAACACCTTAGCTCAATCAATATTCAAATTCCTCAACAAAAGAAACCATCTCAGCTATTCAGCTTTAACTCTTCTATCCCAGCCTTAAGCAGGTCTTTCAAAAATATTAAAATAATGATAATCTGAGAATCATTAACCTTTGCTATAGCCACCACAGACCCTTTGTTCAGAATACCTCCTGAATTGGATTTATTCTATTCTCTCCTTCACTATTCTACTCAGTCTTCTAGACCCAGCACATATTAAGCATGAATATCATACCTTACATTACAGCTTTCATATACATACATAACTCTCCTTGCAGAAAAGAAACAGCTCTTTCTAAAGTTTAATCTCTAGCACCTGACATCTGGTACAGGCAGCAGACACTCCACAAATGTTTACAGCTCTGGTCAGAAATAAAAACTAAGGATTGACACCTATTAGACTCTTAATTCTTCCTTATATTAGAATTTCTCAAATTTAACCATATCATCATACAACCCAGCAATTACACACTTGGATATTTATCCCAGAGGAAGAGATATATGCTCACACAGAAACCGTACGTGAAAATGTATAGCAGTTTTATCATCACCGCCCCAAATTGGAAACAGACGTCCTTCAATAAATGAATCGTTCAATAAAGTGTGGTACAACCATACAATGAAACACTACTCAGCAATAAAAAGGAACTACTAAGATATGGAACAACAAAAATAAATCTTGAGGAAATTATACTGACTGAAAAACAATGCCAATACCAAAGGCTCCATATTGTATAATTCCATTTAAATAATAATCTTGAAATAACAAAATTACAGAAGTAAAGAACAGATTACTGATTGCCAGGGGTTAGAGACCGGGTACAAGGTGGGAAGTGAGGTATGTGTTTGCAAAACATCACAAGGAATCCTTTCAAGTGATGAAAATGTTGTGCACCTTGACTATATTAATGTTAATATTTGATTGTGATACTAAAATAGCATTTTGCAGGATGTTACCTTCAGAGGATACTGGATAAGTGGTACACAGGATCTCTCTATTGTTTTTTACAACTGCCTATAAATCTATAATTATCTCAAAATGAAAGGTTTAATTTTTACAAAAACTAACCATATTTCAAATCTTAGCCAAAAGCACTCAGACCTCAGTGCTAAAGTACCTTGCAAATAATCATAGCTCCAAACAACAGATCCCACTCTAATTAGCCATACAGTAGGGTTTTGGCTACAAGGGGTGAATGACTCTCTCAAAAAGAGGTGAAGACAGTCATTCTGGCCAACACGAGAGAAGAGATTTCTTTATATAAGAAAGCTATTTTCAGAAAGTGGGATGGCAAAAGAAATTACAAATACTAACACAAAAACTGTCCTTGTCCAAAACACTGAGCTGGGTACCCCAAGTGATAGTCCATCTCTATAAGCTAGGACTTTCGTGGGGAGAAATAACAGCCTCTGTGAAATCTGATCTATTTGCCATTTAGATCCATGTGACTCATGGAGGCTGGCTGCACTCATATCTAAAAATACAGGAAATCCGCAGCCTAAGCAAATTTGGCTCATAGACTCATGGGCTTTTGATTCAAACACTGCACATTTGGAGACAGTGGTTTTATATTTACATCAGCTAGCGGCAAAGGAGGTTCCACTGCTCAAGTGACAGGTATTCAGTTGAAATCTAGAAGCAAAAAGGATCAGAAGATTGATCTGCTTATAAACATTTTATCTGAGAGTTACATGACACCTGCTCAGTATCAGGAACATGAACTCTGAGGTCCTCTGGAGCCTAGAATGATGCCTTTCCTTGAGCATTGGGTGTGTCCCACTGAATACCTGTCCCAAAAGAGAATGGAGGGAGTCATAAGCTATTAAAGAGAATAGGGTGTGGCGGTCACATGAGTGAGCGAGTACTACTTGGGCCAGCAGCTCTGAGCCTGCAGACACAGAGGGTGTGGTGTCTGGGCCCTGGGATTTTTTATTTTGTCCAGTCCTAATCAGAACCTTTCCCAGCAGTGCCTGAAGCCATGACATCTGACCAATGGGGCAGCTAATTTCTGGGTGACAGCTCATGGACACCCCAATTCCTTTGCCACAGGCTGAATCTACTCACAGACACAGTGACTTTTCAGAGTGGGACCCCCACCCAGAGACCTGCCTGGCAGAGCCACTGCCACACTTACCCATCAGGACACTAAGCAACTTCTGCACTCTGGAGTTGACCCCCACAATTCGGTACAGCCCTTGCTCGTTGATCCCTGAGGAAAGAAACAGTGATGATTTAATTAGAAGCACGTCAGAACACAAGTCAGGCCAATCCAGCCAAATGCACTTCTTTTTTTTCATTTTCTCAGTCCTTCTAAAAGCTGCTCTAATTAAAGTCCCCTGTCATTCAGCTCAGCTCTTAGCAAAGGAGTGGGATTTGGTACAGCTGTCTAGGATTTCACGGATGTGCTGCACACTTCAGCCCTCATGTTAGTTCAGTCGTCAGAGGCAAAAGAAACTTTCCTCTTCTCTTGCCAAAGGCAGCATCTGAAGAGTTCTAAAAGATGCAAAATGTGTACTTTTAAACATGTCATATTTAACCAATTTTTAAAATTAAAATGCCAAAAATGGATGATTAAAAATTCATACAACAGAAAAAGACACTTTATAATCTATTTTTACATATAAAATGAAAATATTGAGGTGTAAGAACATTTTTAACTTTACAGAATGTTAGCCAAAACTGAGAAATTAAATCCATTCATTTATGATATAAATATTATATAATTAGAAGATCCATTAATTTATAATATATTCTTTATCAAAAAATACCACCTTTATTTCATTCAACCCAAGGAACTATACAATTAGACTAGTAAGGGTTTACTTTTAAATGAAACATCTCAACAAATAATCAAAAACCAATCCACTGCAATGTTTCTGTTCATTGAAATACATAGATTAGATCACCACTGTAGCAGTTACAAAAGAAGGCCATTTTGACCAGGTGACGTGAAATGATTTTTCTCCTGTTAGTCCTAGGCCCATCATATCTAACCCCTCTCAAGTAACAGAACTCCGGCTTCCTATTTTATTCCTCTGATGTCCATTCTCCAACCAGTAGCCAAAGTGAACTGCCCCAAGTGTAAATCAGTTTATACCACCTCTTCCCTTAAAACCCTCCAATAGCTTCCCATTGCAGTTAGACTATAATCTAAACGACTTACAATAGCCTATCAGGCCTATACTATTGAGCACTGACTACCTCTGATAGCATCATCAACCAGATGCATTCTGCTCCATACACTGGCCTTCCTGTCACCTCAACATGCCAAGCTCATGGCTCCACCTCATAGCCTTTACTCCAGCTGTTTCCTCCACCTGGACTGCTCTTCTGCCACAGTTTTTCATCATTCAGGTCTCAGCTTAAATGCAACTGCTTCAATCTAATGCATCCCACAATCTACACTACTGGTCATGCTCTTAACCTGTCTTCTTTCTTTATAGCAGTTAACAATACCTGAAATTATCTTTTTTATTTGCTACCTTTTTTGTTTTTCTCCCCGCAATAGAATGTAAACAGTAATTGTGTCCTGTTCACCATTATATTCTCAGCCCCTGGATCAGTATATGGTACACAATAATAAACAAAACATTAAGTTTATTTTCAATCAAGGCCAGTACAAAACACTTGGGGGCCAAAACACAATCTTCCAGAAGAAATGTGGGTAAGGACCAGTTCCGTAGTACTTTCAGCAAGACCTACGTAGATGTGGAACTAATGAATGAAAAGAAGTAGTCTGGAATGATAGGATTTTACAGCTAAAAAGGACCTGTAAAACCATGTACATCATTCTGCATGATTTATGGACTAGGAGCCCCTGGTCAAAAACTAAATGATGGGTCCCAGGTTACTCAGTGACAGAAAATAACATGTCAGCTTGCGGGCTTGAAAGGTCTGAGGTACATCTACTTCTATCCTTGTGCTTTCCTGGGACTTTACACAATGTCACCTCCCACTGGACAATTGTGGGCAAATCCCAGAGAGTATGGGAAGTCTGTTCATTTCTGGTCACCATAAATATGTATGCACATACACACACTGCAATAGGGAGACATCCACTTTCTGCAACTATTTATGCTAAAAGGGCACCTAACTCATACGGTCCTTATTTCTTCTTTGTGCTCAGTGAAGACTTTCTTAGAAGTTAAAACACATCATTTCCATTTTCATTTTAGAGGGGGGAAAAGAAACTTGGGCACCTTTTCTCCTACTTATTGTACACATTTTGTAGTTTTACATGAGAAAAAGTTGTCCTTGTGAGCTACTGATCTGCACTTACGACAGACTTTATGTACAATTTTAAATGACGAGGTTTCCCTTTTGATTTTGGCTGCGGAAAACTGAGACACAAACAGTTGGCCCAGCTCAAGTAAGTATATGAAATTCAACAGGGAGAGATTTTTATTTTGGACTCGCTTTTGTCTCCATTTTTGTGCCTCTACCTTTAAACCCTGTACCTTTTAATCCCAGTCTTTATTTTTCAATTGAAAAAAAAAAAAGGTAAATTAAAACTCCTGTTGAAAAATTAGGCTGCATGCAGTGGCTCACACCTGTAATCCCAGTGCTTTGGAAGGACGAAGTGGGCAGATCACTTGAGGTCAGGAGTTCAAGACCAGCCTGGACAACATGATGAAACCCTGTCTCTACTCAAAGTACAAAAATTAGCTGGGTGTGGTGGTAGACACCTGTAATCCCAGCTACTCCGGAGGCTGAGGTAGGAGAATTGCTTGAACCCGGGAGGCCAAGGTTGCAGTGAGAGTAGATTGCACCACTGCATTCCATCCTGGGCAACAGAGCAAGACTCCATCTCAAAGAAAAGAAAAATTTACCTTACTAACGAAAACTTCAAAAAGACTTAGAAACTACAGTTAAGGTAAATAGATGACTCAAAGGGAAACAGAAAAATCAGCAGAGAGCCACTGAGAACACAATGAAACCTGTGCAATACGAACGCTCCTCTCCCCACTGCTCCCAGAATGGGCTCGTACTGAGCAGCTGCTTTGTAACTTGCATTTTTTACATAATACAAATAATTTTTTAAATGCCATATGTCAAAAAGTGTATTCCCATTGCATTGTTAGTGAGTCATAGTTTTTTATTACACAGATGTACCATTGTTGATTTAACCCATTTTTGAGACATCTGGCCAGTTTCTGATTTTGTACCTTAACACCACCACTGCATAAACATCCTTATGGCTCAACCTGCCCATATCCTTATTTCCTCAAGACCAATTCCCAGAAATGGCACCTACTTCCACTTTACATTCTCTAGATATATCTTACATACCTTATGAGCTGCCTTCACTCTTTAAGGGAGGTACAGCAGAAATAACTGAACATTTATAAAAATGTTTCCACACATTACAACTGTTTTGGAAAGAATATCTTTTGACAATATATATGAGGGAAGGTTTTAAAATTCTCTCTCTTCCCTCTACCTAACACTTCACAGTTCTTATTTTTTTTAAGTGTACATATCTTTTAAAGTGTGTATGTCTCAACTCTCTCTTTCCTCTACTTAATGCTTCAGTCCTTAATTTTTTTTAAAGTGTATATGTCTCAACTGCTAAGAGTTATGAACCCTGCTTTAAAAGGGAATTTCTTTCAACTGCTTAAAAAGGGCTGGTAGGCTGAGAGGCTGTAGAGTAAATAAGATTCACATTTCTGACAATGGTTCAAATCAAATCCAGTGGAAACATGGTTAACAGCTTTTCTCAGGGGTAAGACAGACGAGCACACTCAAGGCTCCAAACTGCTACGACTGAGGACTCTCCTTTGTGGCAGTCTCTGAAGAAGGGATGGAGACCATCACGATGAACCAGCTTCCTTGAGCTTAATGTCCTGCTCCTACAGACCTGGGAAAGGTCAGGGTGCAACATGGGCCTAACGCCTTCTCTCTACCTGGGTGGTCTCCAGGGACTAGCTCCCCAGAGCATCTTAGGTTCACAGACTGCAAGATGTCTACCAGAGAAAATTCAGGGTGTCTGTGAACTTAGACAGGAAAACAAATACATCTTTATCTTCACTAACCTATAACTGACATTAAGCTTTTCCTTCCATTATGGATGTAAGCAAAAAATCACAGGAGCATTAATGGTACCTGCAACTTGGTCGGAAATCACAGATATTTTCATAACACATTATAGTTATTCTGGATATCGTGAAATATCACTGCTCCTAAATTATGTTGGTTTTCAGACTCACTACTATCACTTATAAAGTGTTAACAAAGAAACGCATGTATCATGACACCCTGTGTTTTCAATATTTTAAAAATTAAATTTCAGTAGCTGGTTTCTATAATCATACCTATTTCAGATATTTAAAACATTCTTCTGATCAGCCAAAAAGTTGGTGATGTAAAATCAGTAAGACCTCCTGCTTGAGACCAATAGGACTTGTGGAAATCTACTGACAATGGCACTTGGGAGCTAATGAGTCACTTAAAGTCAGGAAACAGCAGGTAGCAGGTCTGACTCCTCACCAGATGCATGACCTTCCACGACAACAATGCCATCTGTTAAACTACTTTACCTCTGGTTTCCACAGCATGGATGCATTTCCTGATTATGCTGAAACCAATGCTGTCCAACTGCGCAGCTGAAAGAGCAAGAGAAGGGCAGTCAAGTTGCTAGCCATGAAACTCAACCTCAGGATAGGGCTTACCCAATCCAGGATGAATCAATCGCATGTTGTGGCTACATAGCCCTTTAATTTTTCCCAACAACAGTATAGGAATAACATCATAACAATAACAATAGCTGGCACTGATTGAGAGCTTTCCATAGGCTAGGTTTGGTTTTTAAGTGCCTTGCATGTATTATCTCATTTGGTTATCACAGTAACCTCAAATTGTAGGAATCTGTAAAATTATCTTTAATTTACAGGTGAAGAAACAGCAGCACAGGGTGATAGGTGCCTTTACATTGCTTTGCTACTAACAGAAGCTGTAGAACTAACTGCAGTCTCCTTCAAAAAGTACAAATTGGAGGTTCCAAGAAGGCCGAATAGGAACAGCTCCAGAGTGCAGTTCCAGCAAGAACAACACAGAGGGTGAGTGCCCACCACATTTCCAAACAAATTTTCACTGCCCACAGACCAGGAGATTCCAGGGCCGAAAAGCACCACGAGTTTTCAGCATGGCAGTTTCAGCCGGTACTGGGTTGGCACACAGAAACTCACACAAATTTGGGTGGCTGTTTCAACTGGCGCCTAGAACACCTGAGAGTCAGAGCCACCCATTTAACTGAAAGGGAGGGGGCTGAGACAGGGAGCCAGGCCATCTGGCTTGGCAGGTACCTCCCCCACAAAACAAGCAATCTGAAATGCTCTGTATTGAGAGTTTCACAGCAAGCTGAGCTAGAGCCAGGACGGTCCAGTTCAGTGGGAGGGAGGGTGACCCCCACTACTGAGGCAGTCCACCACTACCGAGGCAATTCACACAGCAGCTGAGCAGAGCCTGCAGCAGCTCAGCAACACTTCTGCTGGCAGACTGTGACTAGACTACTCTGTGCAGGGCAGGGCATCTATGAAAAAAGGCAGCAGCACGACAGGAACTTATAAATAAAGTTGACTTTCCCAGGACAGAGCACCTGGGAAAAGAGGCGGTTATGAGTTCCACTGCAGCAGATGTAAAGGTACCTGCCCAGCAGCTATGCACAGAACAACAGAGCTCCTAGCACAGCACTTGAGCTTCTATAAGGGACAGATTGTCTCCTCAAGCAACTCCCTGACCCCCATATACCCAAAGAGACACCTCATAAAGGAGAACTTAGGCCAACATCTGACAGGTACCCTTCTGGGACAAAGATAACAGAAGAAGAAACAGGCAGTAACCCTTACTGTTCTGCAGCCCCTGTGGGTGATCCACAGGCAAACAGGGTCTGTAGTGGACTGCCAGCAGTACTGCAGCAGAGGGGCCTGACTGTCAGAAGGAAAACTAAGAAACAAAAAGAAATAACTTCATCATCAACAAAAAGGACGCCCACTCAGAGACCCCAGAAAGTCACCAACTATAAAGACAACAGGTAGATAAAGCCACTAAGATAGGAAGAAACCAGCACAAAAAGGATGAAAACACCAAAAACCAGAAAGTCTTTCCTCCTCCAAAGGATCACAACTCCTCACCAGCTAGGGATCAAAAATGGATGGAGAATGAATCTGATGAAGTGACAGAAACAGGCTTCAGAAAGTGGGTGATAACAAACTTCTCAGAGCTAAAAGAACATGTGCTAACCCAATGCAAAGAAACTAAGAACCTAGGAAAAAGGTTAGCTGAGATGCTAACTAGAATAAATAGCTTAGAGTAAAATATAAACAACTTGAGGGAGCTGAAAAACACAGCACGAGAACTTTGTGAAGCATACACAAGTTTCAACAGCTGAACTGACCAAGCAGAAGAAAGGATATCAGAGATTGAGGATCAACTCAATGAAATAAAACAAGAAGGCAACAATAGAGAAAAAAGAGTGAAAAAAAATGAACAAAGCCTCCAAGAAATATGGGATTATGTGAAAAGACCTAATCTATGTTTGATAGCTGTACCTGAATGTGAGGTAGAGAATTAACCCAAGCTGGAAAACACTCTTCAGGATATTATCCAGGAGAACTTCCCCAACCTAGTAAGCCAGGCCACCATTCAAGTCCGGGAAATACAGAGAAAACCACAAAGATATTCCTCAAGAAGAGCAACCCCAAGGCACATAATCGTCAGATTCAGCAGGGTTGAAATGATGGAGAAAATGCTAAGAGCATCCAGAGAAAAAGGTCGGGTTACCCACAAAGGGAAGCCCATCAGACTCACAGCAGATCTCTAAGCAGAAACCCTACAAGCCAGAAGAGAGTGGGGGCAAATATTCAACATCCTTAAAGAAAAGGACTTTCAACCTAGAATTTCATATCCAGCCAAATTAAGCTTCATAGGTGAAAGAGAAAGAAAATCCTTTATGGAAAAGCAATTGCTGAGAGATTTTGTCTTCACCAGGCCTGCCTTACAAGAGATCCTGAAAGAAGCACTAAATAAGGAAAGGAACAACCAGTACCAGCCACTTCAAAAACGTACCAAATGGTAAAGACCATCAACCCAGTGAAAATCATGCATCAACTAATGGGCAAAACATACAGCTAGCATCAAAATGGCAGGATCAAATTCATATAATAACAATATTAACCTTAAATGTAAATGGGCTACATGCCCCAATTAAAAGACACAGACTGGCAATTTGGATAAACAGTCAAGACCCATCAGTGTGCTGTATTCAGGAAACCAATCTCATGCTCAGACACACATAGGCTCAAAACAAAGGGATGGAGGAAGATTCATCAAGCAAACGGAGAGCAAAAAAAAAAAGCAGGAGTTGCAATCCTTGTCTCTCATAAAATGGACTTTAAACCAACAAAGATCAAAAGAGACAGAGAAGGGTATTATATAATGGTAAAAGGATCAATGTATCAAGAAGAGCTAATGATCCTAAATATCTATGCACCCAATACAGGAGCACGCAGGTACATAAACCAAGTTCTTAAGGACCTACAAAGAGACTTAGTCTCCCACACAATAATAGTGGGAGACTAACACTCCACTGTCAATATCAGACAGATCAACGAGACAGAAAATTAACAAGGACATCTAAGACTTGAACTCAGATATGGACCAAGCAGACCTAATAGACATCTACAGAAATCTCTACCCCAAATCCACAGAATATACATTCTTTTCAGCACCGCATTGCACCTGCTCTAATATTGACCACATAATTGGAAGTAAATTACTCCTCAGCAAATGCAAAAGAATGGAAACCATAACAAACAATCTCTCAGACCACAGGGCAATCAAATTAGAATTCAGAATTAAGAAACGAATTCAGAACCACACAACTTCATGGAAACTGAACAACTGGCTCCTGAATGTCGACTGGATAAACAATGAAATGAAGGCAGAAATAAAGATGTTCTTTAAAACCAACCAGAACAAAGAAACAATGTTCCATAATCTCTGGGACACATTTAAAGCAGTGTCTAGAGGGAAATTTATAGCAATAAATGCCCACATAAGAAGCGAGGAAAGATCTAAAATTGACACCCTATTGTCAAAATTCAAAGAGCTAGAGGAGCAAGATCAAGGAAACTCAAAACCTAGCAGAAGACAAGAAATAACTAAGATAGAGCAGAACTGAAGGAGATAGAGACACGAAAAACTCTTCAAAAATTCAGTAAATCCAGGAGCTGGTTTTTTGAAAGGATCAACAAAATAGATAGACCACTAGCCAGATAAATAAAAAAGAAAAGGGAGATGAATCAAATAGATGCAATAAAAAACAATAAAGGGGAGATCATCACTGATTCCACAGAAATACAAACTACAATCAGAGATTACTACAGACAACCCTATGTACATAAACCAGTAAACCTGTAAGAAATGGATAAATTCCTGGACGCTTGCACCCTCCCAAACCTAAACCAGGAAGAAGTTGAAACCTTGAATAGACCAATAACAAGGACTGAAGTTGAGGCAGCAGTTAATAGCCTACCAACCAAAAAAAGTCCAGGTCCAGACGGGTTCACAGCTCAATTCTACCAGACGTACAAAGAGGAGCTGGTAACATTCCTTCTGAAACTATTCCAAACAATACAAAAAGAGGGAATCCTTCCCAAATCTTTTTATGAGACCAAGTTCATCCTGATACCAAAACCCAGCAGAGACTCAACAAAAAAAGAAAACTTCAGGCCAATATCCATGATGAACATAGATGCAAAAATCTTCAATAAAATACTGGCAAACCGATTTCAACAGCACATCAAAAAGCTTACCCATCACAATCAAGTATGCTTCATTCTGGGGATGCAAGGCTGGTTCAACATATGCAAGTCTATAAATGTAATCCACCACATAAACGAAACCAGAGACAAAAAGCACATGATTATCTCAATAGATGTGGAGAAGGCCTTTGATAAAATTCAGCAGCCTTTTATGCTAAAACTCTCAATAAACTAGGTATCGAAGGAACATATCTCAAAACAATAAAAGCTATTTACAACAAACCTACAGCCAATATCATACTGAATGGGCAAAAACTGGAAGCATTCCCTTTGAAATCTGGCACTAGACAAGAATGCCCTCTCTCACCACTCCTATTCAATATAGTATTGGAAGTTCTAGCCAGAGCAATTAGGCAAGAGAAAAATAAATAAAGGGTTTTCAATTAGGAAAAGTAGAAGTCAAATTGTCTCTATTTGCAGATGACATGACTGTACATTTAGAAGACCCCATCATCTCAGCCCAAAATCTCCTTAAACTGATAAGCAACTTCAGCAAAGCCTCAGGATATAAAATCAATGTGCAGAAATCACAAGCATTTCTATACACCAATAACAAACTAACAGAGAGCCAAATCAAGAGCAAACTCCCATTCACAATTGCTACAAAGAGAATAAAATACCTAAGAATACAACTAACAAAGGATATAAAGGACCTCTTCAAGGAGAACTACAAACCACTGCTCAAGGTAATAAGAGAGGACACACAGATGGAAAAACATTCCATGCTCATGGTTAGGAAGAATCAATATCGTGAAAATGGCCATACTGCCCAAAGTAATTTA